CGCGCTCCGTGGATTCTTTCACGCTTCATTGGCATTCAACGTTCCACCTCTGAATGCTCGTCGACTTCGCGATACTCCTCGTGGATACCGCTCATATCCATGAAATATTAAATCGCGATGTCTTTAACTCTTTAACGTCCAAACCTTTAAATCGTTATTTCAAAAATCCTTTAGTTTCTTTAACAATTTCATTAATTATTATTGCATAGTAAAATTTACCAAGTTTCTAGTTTTGTCGTTGTTAAGGTCGTTGGTGAATAATCATCGCAGGACATTGCACGGTATCCTCGAATGTGATTATCCGAGATTCCTGTTTATCAATTTGCTTGACTAGGAGAACGCACGTGGCAGCTGTGCATACATATAATTCAACGGAGGACACGTCGAAATCATCGGAGGATTAATCGAGCCGCACACGCTGTCGTGGACAGGACGTTGTCTGCGGACAACACGTATCGTCCCCGAATGCAATCGACCATGCGTAGATCGATGTACGTTCGTAAGTATTAGAACGCCTGGCCTGTACGAAGAAAATGTGATATTCCATAAATATTACACATTTTGGACCACTTTAACCAGCTTATATCTATTAGCGTAACTGTTATCCATCGAGGCCATTAGCAATTTCGTAATACCTTATTTCGTTTACTTTATATACGATAAGTGTCCTAATACAGTGAATCCTGGATGAGTGTTTGAAAGATCCTCGGCACTGAACATTAAACATTTCATAAACTAATGGCCATTTGCAACTGAAACAACTCATTAAAAAGTCAGCGTTACACCTGAGGACCCCTCCTTGTCAGTGTCGAGGAGCCTTCGAACAGTTATCGAGAGTTTACTGTACTTATGAACGGAAATGTATGTATCAGCCAGTCAGTTATGTTCGTCATGGCATTGGTCCAGAATTCCATTGGTCCGAAAAACTCTCTTTTGGGGTTAGGAATAGGTACAGGTGAGCGCGTATTCCGCGTGACGTGTGTGCGTTCGCGCGCGTATGAATTCGTAAAGGCGCATGCACGATTTACGAAATATCGAACAGCCCCGAGTGAGCTCGAGCGTGTGTAAACACATTCGCTCGTGCGATCGGGTTTTGTTGGGGCTTTATACACACGGGCAAAGTAGCTCGAAACGTGGGGGCGGGGGTGTTGTGCTTTACAGTCCGTTGAAATTATTCCGGCCGCTTTTACATCACGAAAACGTTCGATACACCAATGGATTTGTTCGATGGAGAGATTAACCGACGGACAACTTTAATCTCTGTTTCTCGCGATAAACGCGCGCACACACCGCTTTCGGATGCGGCCTTCTGTGTTCGCTCGAATTCACTGCGTCGTAACCGAAGCGGGTATAAATCATCCCTCGGCTTGGAGTTGGTAAACTTGAACCTTTGAACTCCTTTGTCGAGCGTGACTCGACATCGATTTCATTCACGGGTATAGTCCTATGTCGCCTCACTCGACATTTTCTACATTCTCAGTTTAAATGTGTATTGTATTTCACAGTACCTTTTTTTCATCGTTTTTATTCTTACTAGCATAAAAAAGGCGATGCCACCGACGAGGGACAAAATCAATGCTATTACCGATGTACAATTGGTAAAAAAATTGGAAAAAATTGGAAAGATGTTAAAAGACATTTGTATCCTTCTCGTCCCACCCATCCCAAATCGGTACAATGTGGGCCAGTTCCCAGTGAAATTCACCAAGTTTCAGAGTCACCATCGTCCCCGCAATGATATCCAATTCGGCAAACCTCGGAATCGTCTGGCCTTCAGCAATCTAGGGTCGCGGCCACGCATTACAGATACCTACTCGTTCAGGAATCATAGCAGAATTAATCGAGTCCATAATTCGTCGCGGGGAATTGGTGTATCTTCCTCTGTTCCGTGGACAATACAGTCAAGCAGGCGTATTCGGGCCAGATATGTGCATAGCTGTAACATATAGACGTGTGCATACGCGTAGGTATATCCTGCACGCGTGTATACGCGCAGAAATGCATATATACGCGCGTGCACGGGCTGAGGTATACCTACGCGCGTGTCAACGCATACAGATCGCAGCGGTGTGGCGCGTGTTCCGCGGGGGCTGTTCCTCGTCATGGAAATTTACGAGCAGACGCACGGCTCGATGCAATCCGCGGTCGAATATGACGCGACGTGTCCCTGAGAGTTTATGTCCATTGGGAATTTTCACGCGAATCCGATGGACATACCGTGGGACTAGCTCGATTCTCTGCAAAATGAAACGGTTTGTCCCTCCTTTCATCGTCGCTCTCGCGTGATTGCTAAGGGGTACATCCTTTGAACTGTTAAATAAGAGGTAAAATTAACGAATTATTTTCTATATGCAGAATTATTGTTTATTAAAAGCTGAATTTATTTCAAATTATTAAATAATTCTGCATATACAAAAGAATTTTTTAATTTTCCCTCGTATTTAACAGCTGAAAGGTACTGGAGGGAAATCCTGTCACTGACTGGGCACGGATACATCGGCAACGGCCGATGAAAGAATACGAGGGGCGTTTAATCGACTGTCTGGAAATGACGGCTCTTTGGAAGTTAATGGAACTGATATTTGTATATACGGGGTGACGGAAAAACGCGTTACCCCTGAATACAATTCGTTTGTATAATTTTTTCCTATTCAAGATCAGTTCCATCGTTCAAAATAATTTCGATGGACACGACAATCCCATCGATTGTACAACGTTTCCTGACACACCCAGTATAAGAGAATCCTTTCCTTCGATACCTCCGATAGGCAACGCCGCGAAGAATCACATATTAATCCGTCCCATTAACGCCTGTCCGCATTGAATGCGATCTTTATGCACGGCTATGTATCCCCAAGGCTTGGCTTCCGTCCAATCCGCACTGTTGGTCGCGTGTCGTGCAAAACGACGGCATTGCAGTGGGAGAGTCGCGTGTTTCTCCTACCAAAGCCAAAACCAAAGATTACAATTCCGACCTGCGTGCAGCCAAGACGCTGGAAACGTCTGGGCGAGGAGGCGTTCACCGGAGCAGAAGCGGACGAAAATTAATTTACGCTGTCCCCGAGAGGGGGAAAAAAGGAAAAACAAGCGGCGCAGAGCCGAAACCTCGTTAAGGGTGAGTCTCGCGTTCCCCCGTGGGACGTACTAGCACGCGTGCTACAATTTATTGCATCTTTCTTGCGCGTTAAAGCGTACTATGAACCGCATACCTAATGCTCGGTTCCCAGCTCGGGCTGAATCATAAATCGTATACCTATCTCTTTGTTTCTCTTTCGCGCGCACGATGTCTCTGTCCCGCCACGCTTTCTTACGCGAAACTTCGTGTCCCGGAGATCGTGTGCACCGTCAAGAGCAACCACGAGAGCAACGACGTTCACGAACGATACGTACTACCCTCGAAGACAATAATTCTTCTTATCCTTTTGTGCTGCTCCCCTCTCCAAGCTCGTGAATATCTTAACGTGTAGAAATCCCTCGAGAACAAATCCGAGGTTGTCGTTGATTTTCAATGGCGTTTAATCGTTCAGCCTTGAAAAGAATCGGTTGTCGAAGAACATCACCGTTTTAGTATTCTAGATTCAGGTGTTTGTACGGTTCTGTTCAACGTGGTTCGGTTCAGCGAACATCGGTGTACACTTTACGTAACCGTTGACTCGCTGGATGCACCGGGAACGAACAACGCAACTATTTTCTATTACATACATCGCGGTACGCCGCTGGCGACCCTGTTTGCACGGTTCGTCGAGAATCGCCTCGGGGCGAAATTTGTGAAGTTCTAATCGCGTGGCCAAGCGGAGCCGGAAGCGGTGAACGCTACCGAATAAAACGGCGAAACCCGGGAAAAGGGGGCCCCGAAGCGTACACCATCACCACCGTGTGAGGGCGGTCCGGTGTACACGCGACGCTAGATAAAGAGCAAATGGAACGTATTCCCGGTTAATCCCGACTTGTAATCAGAGGAAGAACCACTGACTTGGCACGCGAAACACACAAAATCTACAGGGTGGTTCATTTAACGTGCCCATCTCAATTATTTGTAAATTCAAAAAAAAGTCACATGGTATCAAGGGGGACGTATAATGCAATGACGTGATTTTTACTATGTCACGTTCAGTTTCTGTTTTCTTTTGGAATGCAGAGTATCTTATCCCGATTAATTAATTGTAATTTATAATATTAATATTATATTTTTAGGCAGCCAATAATTTACGAGCAGTTGAGATTGTCACGTTAGGTGAACCACCCTATACATATATCATGTATATGTATAGCGATGGAAACGGCGGACATAATTATTGGTTTGCTGTCAGCCGTATCTTTCCAATGAAGCTTATCGCGGATCGAATTAGAAACGGGCCAGTTAACGCTACCTGGCACGCTGATTATGAAACACCGTGACATCGCGCGACTCGATTCGGAAAATTTCTCTGTACAATCTGGTTTAAGGGGGTATTCTAGTGTGGACGCTCGTTTTTAATGTCATTGGAATAACACCTTAAACCTGAACTCGATCTCCCTGGCCGATGGTTTTCGTGTTCGATGATCTTTTTGATCGCTCTTCAATATCAACGACCACGAGTCGGTGTTAAAATTGGACTTTTCATCAATAATCGAGATATCGGTACCCGATACCGTCTACCTATCCTTCGCTCACCACCGGCTAATTAACGTTGAAACTACTCGACCGTGTGAAATCACAGGGTATGATCTACCGATAGAAGGCGTGAACATCGTTTAATATACTGCTCACGACGGAGAAAGCAATCGAAGGTGCGAAACACATTTCGCCTCCCCCACCCCCCATTTAGACGGTTTTTCTCCCCCTCGAGCGATCTACCATTCCAGCGAAAATCGTTCGAACATTATAATTTGCTGGATCGAGACGTGTGCACCACGATCAATTCGCTCGTAGTAGATCGACTCGACGCGGTGAAACGCTTTGTCAGCGTGGTCGCACGCGAAAGAAAGAGCATAGAAAATGTTCGTCGGTTATCACTCACCGCTTTCACGGATTCGTAGTCCCCTTTCCTCAGCATATCCATCAGCCTCTGTCGTTCCATTTCTTCCTTTGTCACGTATACCTTGTTCTCTTTAAACCTCCCGTTCTGCAGGTTCTCGTAATTGTCGCACAGAACATTGTGAAAGCCGATCGGCGGCTTCTGGTGACCGACATGCTCGATGATCTTCAACGTGTTACCGGTAACGTGTTGCTCAGCGTGATCTTTAGCTGGTAGATCCTGCTTGAACTGAAGATTCTTCACCAACACCTCGTTCACCACGCGATCGTCGATCTCACGCGAGTTCGTACGATCTTTCTCGATCGTTTTATCCGTCTTTCCGAGAAGCAACGTTCCCTGGTCCTGATATCCGGCCTCGAGAGTCTGATCGGGCACAGCCGTCAGACGGGCGGAAAGCTCTTCGACCTTGAACTTTGCCATTTCCCTTTCACTCTCCAGCTCGTCCAAAGGGATCGTGGCCGACGACAGATTGCTGTTCTCTCGCGTGTGACAGGATTGACTTCTGTCGTGGGGATTCTCGGAATCGTATGGGATCTCGAACTCCTCGAGGATCATGACCGGCTGTTGCTCCGGGACGTCGCGTTTTTCATCCTGTTCGTTGCCCCCTAACGAACCTGTCCCGGCGGTTCGTGATTGCTGGCTCGGTTTCACGCACCGAGGGGAGTCCGAGGGCGAGTGAAACGTGACGAACGTTCTGGCGGATGGTTCGTTCGATTGATCCCGCCTCACGGACACCGTCCCGGTGTTGGAATCTTTCCTCTTCTCCGGACTGAGTCTGAGCCTACCGTTCGGCAACGCTTGCTGCTGGATTTTCAGGCACTGACTCAATCCGATCTCTGGGTATCTGCACAGGGACGCCTCGCTCTTCTGATCGTCCTCTTCGATGGTCTCCAGGTGTTCGTACCGTAGCTCGCCGATTCGTTCGTACACTTCTTCTTCTTCTTCTTGGTCTTTCCGCTCGGTCTCGGCGTTCCGTTCGAGTAGCTGAACGACCGTTTCTTTCGACGGTGACCTGAGATCGGATCGTTCGTTGCCTGGCTCGCCGTAAGCGGAAACCTGTAAAGAAGGTCGTAGAAGCGATTCGAGGTCATCCGCGTGGATCACTTGAGGCTGCAGACTGCGCTCGTATATCTTCTCCACGTGATTCGGCGAGGAATAATGCGACGATCTGCTCGATGAATCGTTCACAGTCGACGCTCTCGATTTCGCGGAGTTTTGCTCGTTGAGCTGCTGAAGGGCGGCGTACACGGAATTATTCGGTTTGAAGGTGGACTGCGGCGAACCCATGGGCGAGCCTCCCGGGCGTTCGTTTTTGATGTCCTGCGAACAGGCAATCGGATCCCGCCTGGGCAGAACCGGAGGCTTTCTAGCCTCTGCCGGCAAGTTGGACCACCCCTGAAGACTTCTTGGTTTCGTGACGCGGGGCTCCTGTTGTTGTTGACCTTGGAGGGTCCGGACACGCGCGCCAACGGCACCGTAAACACTCTCCTGCCTCGGCCGATCCATTCGGTTCTCTCTCTTGTCCTGCCGACCGGCGTACCTGGACTCGACCGATTCCCCTACGGTAATACTTGCGTTGTCTCGTGTGGGTCGATCGCCGCTCCTCGAGGCTTCCATCGATTTACAGGCGGCATCCGTTGCTTTATCACCGGCTCGTGGTGAATCGCTCGTGAGAGTCGGCCGCCTACTTTCTCCGTCCTTATTTGGTGAGATCGGCTCGCCTTGGTCACCAAGGTTGCTCGGGCCCTTCGAGCCGCTGCTGTTGCTCCCTCCACAGCCTCCTCCTGCTCCTCCTCTCGCCCTCTGGCCTGTCTCTTCCTTAACGAGCGGTCTCGTCGCGCTGCCGCCACTGCTCGCGCTTTGATCGTGATTCTGCGATCGTTTGAACGATGGTCGCCTGCAGGGGATCACCGACGACGAAGACGACGAGTTCGTAGTCGTCGGTGTTGTCGGGCTACCGGTAACGGCGGTAGCCACACCGCTTAGCCCAGATATCCTGCCGTGATCGGACTCGTTTCTGGTCTTTGCTGAATTCGCGAGCCTGCTCTCGGTCGTCGATCTGCCGCGACAGTTCTTCTCCGCTTGGTAGTGTTGCCCTCCTGTCTCCGCGATGCCGTCCGCTTTACCCTCCTCGTTGCTCGACTCCAATCGTCTGGATCTGAAGCTCGAGCTGAGCGGTCCTCTTTGGGGAATCCTGGAACCGGTGGACGGACTGATGTCTCTCGTTCTACCAACCATGTTGTTCGACGCGCTGAACCCGTAATCCTGTTGCTTGCTTCGGTTCTTCAACGCCAGGTATTCCTTGTACGTGCCTCGGCTGGTGTTCACGCCGACGTTCACCTTGTCCACCTTACGGTCCGTCTTTTTGTCCGCGCGACTCAGATCGTCGTAACTCGACGAAGTTCCGTTCAACTTGTCCCTGCCCTCGTCGATCGATCTGGAACGCGAATCCTGCCGGTACCGTCGCTGTGTTTTCTGTTCGGCGCTGCTGTTCGATCTGGTCAACAGTTTTTCCCGGGACGCCGGGAAATTCTGGCTTTGAGCCTGGCTCAGCCACTCGTCCACCCTCTTCTGGACTTCCCCTTTGCGAAGCAACACCTCCGGAACTTTGTTCCGACTGGCATCGATGGTCAAAGCGACCGACGATACACAAGAAAGCGAATTATCCTCCGTCGGAGACGGTGGAACGTGCTTAACGACCGTCTCCTTTTGCCTCTCCCGGGATCGTTGTCTCACCTGCGTCTGTTGGTTAATTTTCAGTACCGGCTGCTGGGCTTTCTCCCGGATCGGAGAACACTTGGTCTGCATCCTCGTCCCCAAGACTCTCGATCTGTCCTGTTGCTGTTTCTTCTGCTGGTCAATCATTACAGCCTCGAAGTTCGACACGCTGATGCTCCCGACGTCGCTCAAGTCCGACGACCGTCTGTAGTCGAGATCCTCGTACTCGTCCAAAATGTTGTTCACCGACTGTGTGTCGATCGAGCTGATGCTCTTCGACTTGTTCCTGACCACGCTCTCGTCGCTGCTCGAGTAACCGTGATTCTGCTGTTGCTGCGGTTGCCGACGATCACGACTCGCTTGCCTTTTGGGTCGTGCTTTCGGCTTTTGGTACTTCAACACGGCATTCTCGTAACGTTGCAGAGGATTCTCTTGCGGTCCAGCTTCGAGAGTTTCGCATCTGTTTCTCTTTAAAGCTGCCGATTGCTTCGTGTACCGAAGCTGAACCGAGTCCTTCTGATTGAACATCGCTCCCCTCTGCAACATCGAGACCGTTCCTTCGCGATGCTCGACTTCCTGACTTATTTTCGTCTGAGCCATCGAACGGAAGGTCGTGAAACCTTGCCCGTATCTCGAGCTCACGCTCGGAACGACCGTCTCCTTGGTTAACTCTCTCCGCGTGACGCTCGACCGTGCTCGGTGATGATCAACGGCCGGCGGCACACCATCCTCGTCGACGAATGGAATGTTGCTGCCGGCGGTTAACGTCTTCAATATTATCTCGTTGCTCATTTCTCGTGTGGCTCACATTTTCGTCAATTCGCCAGAGAAAGACCTCCTCCTCCTCCTCTTTTCAACCTGCAACAAACAAACGGGAAACGAACTGTACAGATCGATATGATTCACGACATACCACGCCAGGTGGTCTATATCCATGTTACTAGCTACCCTAGTTTTCACCTTGCTCCGATCATACGCGACTACCTCGGCGGAACCGACATTAAGCACGCGGTTCGAATGCATTAGGCTGACGCTCCCCCTTTAAACTTGCAAAGGATACCCCCAACGTGACTCCTTGATATTCCCGATCCGAAATTCGTAATTGGAAAGGCAACGGCGGCGTCGTTTCAGAGGACCTAGCCTGGCCTCCTAAGACCGACCACGCTTCCGTGAAACGGTTCTCCGATCGACTTCCGGTAAACCGGCTCACGTTTTACCAACGGTGGAGTATCCGGTGGCCGGTCGATATCCGGTTGAAATTAATTCGGTTTTCGGGCCCGAAGCGTATTAGATATTGTAATGGTTGCTGCTGCCATGCTTTCGTGCGTCGAATCGTTAAAGGCCATAACACGCCCGTTTGGAATTCAATATGCCTGTGTCCGACCGGTGCCCGGTGAATATTGACTATCGAGAAGTATATATTTGCGCTTGTGCCGCGCATATTTATTCTCGTCGATAGTTCCGCGAGCTGTGATCGCGTCCTAGCCGTTCCTTTCGTTAAAAACTCAATGGCTCTGTGATGATACTTTCCCGGGCTATTTCGAATTGCCAAACCCCAATTACCGTCGATAATTCAAAAAAATTCGAACGTAATAACTGCAGAGTTTCGAAAATTCCTCCAATAACTATTGACAGTGTGCACGTATATACAGCAGCGTTGCATACGGCTTCGTAACCGTTCTCTGTGTCCAAGTTTCAATTCGCGCAAAGGAATAAGATCACGAGCGGCGTAAATTAAATTAAACCAACGCCCCGCCCCCCTCCACAGTCACCCCTTCAAAGCATAGTACTCTCGCGGTTCTCTAACGATTCCCACGCGGCTCCCGCGCGTGAAACGATCTCCTAGCTGGAATTCTACTTTTAGATCGTTCGCCGAGATATCGGGGCACAGTGGGCCACCGCGTCGCCACGAAAGATTCGTTGCGTGGTGGATCCAACCGGCTCCATATTCCACCTCTCCTTCGTTCTCTTTGCCTCTGAAATTGACCCACAATTAAGACGTCTCCGCGAGGAGTAGAAAGCGCGAGCGAGGAACCCGAAGGCTGGCCGATAAACGAGCAACAAAAGCGTTTCTTCTTTTTCCTTTCTTCGAGACAATGCAGGTGCCGCATAATGCTCGGACTGCAATAATAACGAAAGAGGAAGCGAGAACCGAGGAATGGGTAACTGAAGGAGAAGGGGACAGAAGGCTCCTCGTAATTATCGTCTTGAAAAAATACACATTCCGCCCGTGGGCCCAGAACCACGACTCTGAATACCGACACCACCAATGAAAACCATCTATTTTTCGGATGCACTGACCCGAATCTTAAATACGCCCGGTGAAGCCGTTACATTGCGATCGCGTTACGCGGTGAATAAACAACGCGGCGAGAACTCCGCTAGTGCACATTGACGTGCAAACTCGGCTTCCGCTAGAGAAAACGTGGCGTAGGGGTAAAGGGCCTCCTACCAGTTGGTAAATTTATTTCAAGTACTGAAATAAGTGTTGAACTCAATGTTTTTAGGCGAAAACCTTAGCTGAATACCGTGTACAATTTTTAAAAGTCTAACCGAATACCGCAGGGTTCTGTCATTATAATAATGATAATGATTAGGATCAAGATGATTATCTTGCTGAAGAGAAACAGGTGATGAATGTTCCAGATTCTGTAATAACGTAGGAGTACAGTACCGACACTCAGCTGAAGATGTTAAATTCACGTAGTGTTACGCGCTGCTTACATACGCTGATTACACTTTGGGCGTTATTGCCTTTGACAAAACATCTTTTCTCCCATTACATATATATTTATCTCCCTTTTTAATCTCTTCATGAAAATGTTCAACGTTTGATCCAACCCCGAAATAAAAGGGTCATAAACCTGTAACCCTCTAGCATATATGTATGTATAATCACAAATTCAGCGGGGTCAAGTTGGCTTCAAGACGACGTAGGACTACGTTGCCGGTTACGAATGTGTTAATTTGGCGAAAATCTCAGTAATTTCCAAGACCATGTTACAAGAGGTACTTCCCCTACGCAACTTTTTCCTCTAGCAGAATCCAAGGTTTGCTCGTCGGTTTACATACCCGACTGCAATGGGATCGTCAGCATTCCCGATCAGACGCCCGTTATTCACGGAATTTCTGTCCTTCGCACAGTGAGCAGGGACGCGAAAAACATTTCCGTCGTTTTGGATAGGCAAGCGAGTTGCTCCGTTAGCGAGAAAAATTCTACGACTCGTGAATCTCTGCATTCCCGCGATTAACGGGATCGCGAATCTTCAGGCGTGCCGCGAGTCGTCGTCTCCCGTTGACCCTAATAGCGGAGAACGCAAGAGATGCATTCGAGGTGATTTGCCACGATTAACGCGATTAGGTATGCGCCGCTCCCACGACCCCGCCCGCGATATCGTTTCATTAACGCGGACGGATTTATGCGAGATCTCCGTGATTCTTTTTTCCGTGCACGGGGCCGATAAAAATGGCGATATTTTTATATTTCCGCTTAGCGTTCTGCTTTTTCCACCACCGCGCTATAGGCCAGAAATGAGAAATCGGAAAATTCTTGTTTCGAGATATAGATTTCGATTTTTCTCGCGGGATTATCGTTTCTGGCCCATAGTGCACCCCGTTGAAATAGGTAACTCCGGAAACGTTTGGAAAGGAACGGATAATCCTTCCCCGAAATTGATTTGCATAATCGGAGCTTGTTATCCCAATCTCGGAACGAAACATGAAACCAAGCGGCGCGGAACACGGAGGATTTTCGAGTTCGAAGAAGACGATTAACCGGAGGGAACCATTACGGGGAGTTGATGATCTCGCACGACCCGACGTCTCAATTCAGGCCCAGTCGTGATAGGTGTAATCCAGGCCTCAATTGAAATCTACCAGATAGGCCGGATCTCGATTGAGGTCCGCCGGAATCAAACGGGTTAACTCTTAGGGTTACAACTCTCGGATTACTAGGCGGCCGCTGGGCCACGGTCGACAAGAAAAATCTCACGGGTCCCTAAAAAAAACCCCTCCGGGATCTCTGCAGCACACGTACCAGCTTCCCTTCGAATAAATTAGCATTCATTTCATCGTGGCCGTGTGTAAAACCGAGCTAGACGACTCACTGGTTGAAAAGCAAAGAGAGAAAGCCGGCCAATAGACTCTTCGAGCAAACACTCGTCTCTCGAAATATCTTCGATACATACTCGTTAAACGTCGACGAATGATGAGAGGAAGAAATTAACACGAAAAAAAAACCGTCTGTTCGTTTCAACGCCACACACGATCGAGTGTAGGTACTCTGTACCGTTCGTTGTAATGGTCTGCGTTCTATCATAAAGATATATCAAGACCGCGAATCAAATGACGAGGACGAGTGCAGATCGAGAGGGACCACACGCGCGCGTCTCGCATCGCATCTCGCGTTTCGCGTACACGCGAGGCAAGACCGTGTGCACGCGAATGTTAATTGCGTGCATGATCTGATGCACTTTCCTTGCACGTATGACAGCCCAGTTTCAAAGTTCTTGTCAATTCACCCGCCCCGCGACACACTTGTTACACCGTGAATCGCGCCTACACGCCCACTCACCGCGTGGGCAAAGAGGATTCTTCTCTCTCCATCGGTTGCAATTTCCACTTTTTTCGGTGGCCACTCGTCTGCAACTGCCGTGTGGTTCTCGATGGAAAAATAAACGAAAAGGTTTACACTCGTATACATCATAGAAGAATATTGCCTCTCCGATACGTTGATCTCCTCAAGGTTTTTCCACGGTCCGTGTCCTCGATCCCAGGAAGATTCACCGAAGAATGATTTATACCATTTATCCGTACCCTTCGAGGAACACACAAAAAGACTCCAACGGTTGACGTTGGCGAAATAAATGATAGAGTTAAAAAACCGGGGAAGACGTTACATACCGAGCTGGACAAGAAACTATGCCACGAGAGGGTGCTTCTCGATTTATTCGCATCCGGACCACCCGGATTACACGCGGTGTAAATAAAGACGCCCCTATCTATCGAGGAAGCGTTTTTTTTTCTCCCTTCTCCAGGCGTTTTCTCGATGCCCTGTGGCCCTTTAAACAGAGGCTTCTGGACCGATGCCAGGATCCGACGACGGGCATGTCTCGAGGAGAATGACCGTGTCTCGATGCAGGAGGCGTTCCACCGGCCGCAGATTCGTCGACGGAAGTGTCGAGAGGATCTTTCGTGTCGTCGTCGTTGTGGCCAATAGGACAGGAATGCGAGAGGCGCGGCGTAGGCTTCCGACCGTGGCACGGTTTTATAATGGGTTAATAATCGTTCCACGCAACCGATCGCGGAAAACACCGAAGCAGCAGCAGCAGCAGAGCACGTTAGAGACGCTCGTTACGCGAGCTGGTTCCGAACGACTTGTGCACGGTGCTTAAACCTTTTTGACCCCTCAATTGATCGCACGACGAGATCTTTAATCTCGCCTCTTGCTCCGTCTCTCTCTCTCTCTCTCTCTCTCTCTCTCTCTCTCTCTCTCTCTCTCTCTCTCTCTCTGCTACGAACTTTTCCGTACACGTTTCTCTGCGTTTCCGTTTCACGATCACATCGGACACGACGAAGCCTCGATCCGAGACGTGGGATTTGAATATAATGACTGCATTATGTGTAAATTTCGTGTTGGCGCGAAAACGACGAAAAGTTCATCGTGCGATTTGTCGTGTGTATTTAGCGATGAACGGTTTCAGTCCCGTTACGCGCTTCATCTTCATTCTGAATTCTTAGTTTTACGTTTTACGACTCTCTCCATATTTTCACACTCTCCAAATGTACATGCT